CCATGCTTTCTTTGTGTACGGTTATGCACTCGGAACTACTCGGATGTCTCCGCACTCGACAATAACTATGTTGTTAGTATGGAGCTTGCGGAATCAGCCGAGGATTGCCGATTGACGGTCAACCAATCAGCGTTTTCACCAAACTTTGGTGAAAAATTTTGAAACATGGATTCGATTGGCTTATATAAACTAGGTCAAACTATTTTCGTCAGAGGTAACTTGACACGATGAAGATAGGCTATAGTGAAGAGGTTAGTGTCAAGTTATCTCTGAAGCTCAGGGTGAATAATCCAGGCTGTGTCAAGGATCCAGCTAGTTCAGGGCCCTGTAACTCAAAATCATTGTGCATTGCAACTGAGCACAATATCTCGATCCCATACTAGTACTAGTACTAGTAACTTGCCCATACTCACCCCATATAATACACTGTACTCAGTACATAGCCTCTATGTGATATACTTATTCCCAATGTGCGATGCTTTCAAATTACAGGGCCAAAGTTCAATAGTGAGAAGAAAAGCCCAATAAGTTTTCTAATCAGAGTTAAAGGGATAATAACTCTTCGTATGAGATCTATATTTCACAATAAAAACATTGTGAATAACTCATAAAAATATAATATATATTCTGTTTTACGACAAAAACAGCAGTTATAGCTACCATCTGATATCTGAGCTTGTCTTCAGATCACGTGACCTCCTCTGATGGCTATACTCTGTTAAAATCTCTTAAGAGATATTAACAAAAAAACAAACTTTTTACAAAAAAACCAGGGACTACATGTAACTTTGAATGTAAAAATGGATTCATTAACCATTGGTAAGTGTGGGAAAATTGTTTACTCCAGGAAAATTCATTTTTTGGCCAAAACAAAGAGTTATTATCCCTTTAACATGGAGTATTAGGACTGAGCCTAGAAAACTTGGACTTATGTTTGAGCTGTTTCGCACAACATTCAAGTTCTTGAACAACTTAGTTGTGACCTGGCATTGTCCTAAGTTTAAGTCTTATTTATCCCAAGTACTATGGTTTGTGCCACAGGACTTGAATGAAAAAAACACTTACTGTATCTGTATATGCGTAACAGATTATAGTTGGTACATGTACCTTACTGTCTTCATGTGTTATTTTCCTCACAAAATCACCACTGACGTGACAGTGAATTTGACTCTGTACGTAACTGGGATATGCAGTAAAGCTTGATCCACCACTGCCTGGACTTTCACCTCTTGCCTTAGAATTATGCTGTTTGTTCTGTAGCTGGCACAAATGTAAAGGCTTTTCCAGTGCCCTTATTGCATCAATCACAAATTAGTCCATTGTAAATGGACTTTGGTTTTCCAAGCTTTGCTAGCTGTTCAATTCTTTGAACGATGAACATGTGTGTACAGGTTCTGCTGTACTATACATGTACGGGTACCCTGAATTTTTTGGGTTCCCCTGTGAAGCCAACAAGACGTGCCGATTGCTAAGTTGTATCAACAATATTAACTACCTAGTAATGTATTTGGCTTTCATATTACCCTATTTTGTCGGAAATGACTGTTTCCTGTGTTTACTTGCAACTAGACTTTTTTTTTTTTTTTTTTTTTTTTTTTGTTTTGGTGTATTTGCACTGTATTGCTGACCGCATTGTCTAACAACATGATCGGTAGTCTGCGATGTTAGCAGTTACATTCAATGCATTCTGGTAAAGCCTCCATGCAGAATCTTGTTATAATCAGTATTTTGTCATTACTGAAAGCTGTTCTCATGTTCTCAAAATATCGCAGTTACCTAGCTTGTTAAAACCAGTAACTTAAACTGAAAAGGTCCACTTCACTTGAAAAGTCAGAAGATCAATAATTCGTCTAAACAAAAGACGACATTCGACCATATACAACACAAATACCCTTTATTGATTTGGCTCTAGTTATTTTACATACGTTTCATAAATAAATCCCTTATGCAAAACACAATAAAAATCTCCATACCTTTATATCTTGGATCATATTGTTGTAGGTCGGCAACGGGATTCGTGAAGGCAGCTGTCATTTTGAAAACTGTACTTACTGTCCATCGATATAGATTTTAGTGATGCTGCCACGACGTGCTATACGGATATCTTTGTTGCGTGTGTCCCAGTCTTATTAACACGGCTTAACCCAAAGATTCAAAGTTACGGTACCGGTATTTTTAGAATGCAATTGCTATGTGATATGATAATGAATGTTTCTATGCATCCACACTGTCTAGTTATTATTATTATTATTATTATTATTATTATTATTATTATTATTATTATTATTATTATTATTGTTGTTGTTGTTGTAATTAAGGATCGCGAATCATTTTATGCCTTCGTTCTCAACATTATGAGAGGGCGATAAACGAAAATACCGGCCGCAAAAGTATGCATTTTAATACATTTAGCCTCTAATTTGGGTGACCAAGGACGGCGCGTGTGGAGGCCTGGAGACCATCAGCGGATAAGTCGGCTCTTCTTTCATGTAGAGTCTGGCCTATTTGATCCGTGGATCAGTAGATCTTCGGATCTTTTGTTCGAAATAGCTTCATGCATGTACAGGGTAACTTCAAATTCATACAATGGAGTTGAATACATTTTAAACACCTTCTAAAAAAATATTGATATGCCTCCTAAAACCACAAAGGGGCAAAGGAAAAGAGGATCACAGAAAGTTCAACAAAATGATAGGACCATGCCGTACATGTTCAATCCAGGGGCGGATCCAGGGTTATTTGAAAGGGGGGGGGGGAGCTGGGAATGACAGGCTTCGGATGAGTAGTTGACCCTCGCCCCCTTGGCTTGGAGGGCCCGCTCAAAGGCCCCGGAAAATTTTGGTGTTTTGAAGGGAAAACGGTGCCATTTGGTACGTCTAATAAATGTGATTCGGCTGGTCAAAATTCTAATTTCAAAAGGGGAATTTTTGTTAGATTTATTTTTCAGAAACCGAAGGGGAGGAGGGTCAAGACATTCGTTTGATTATTATCAGAGAAAAGCCGTATATGAACGGAGGGCGGGCTAATTTCACAGCGCACGCGTGCTAAAATTCAAATTTGCCACAAATCCTCATGGTAACGGAAAAATCAAGATTTCGAATCAGCGTTCTCGTGCTAATGCTTGAAATATGAAGAACTTTAACATATGATGTGGTTACTTGCTGATCACAGTGTCCGCTTTACCTAACAGCGGCGGTTAACAACCCTAGGAAAAGGAAGAAAGAATAGAAAATGATACTAGTACATGTATCTGGAACAAACGACAAATTCGGTTGTAGGCCTACAAAGTTCATCATAGGAAAGATAACACACTGCATGTACTAGAAATATGACAAATGCAATTATTCCGATAATTTAGCAAAGGACAAGGAAATTGTTATATATTCCCAACCTGTCTGTTACAAAATTGGGCAAAATGCTCCCGTCGGATCGAAGATGATCAGCTGGGTGAAAAAAAAAGCTCCCCTCGGCAAAAAATATACTGATATCGTACTTCGAAGGTGGAACATTTGACAACGGTTGTCTCCTCTGCTACTGGTCCAGTTTATGAATGGGTGGGAGGAATGAGGTAGTAACATATAAGAGTAGACAACTTGGTCATCCCAAATCTCCCAGAGGGCTTTCGTGCAATTTTGTATCAGCAATGGAGAAGATAGCTATAAATTGTCCCCCAACCCTTTGAAAGCAAAGCATGCTATCTACATGTATCCTGAGCTCACCT